CTGTGGTCACAATAGACAATGTGGGCAGCAGTGTGCAGTTATAGGTCAATGAGTCTCAGTAAGCTAGTCCCAGACCTGTGAGATTCAGGCAGATTTCTGGTTGCAAGTTCCAAGTTGAGCTCCCTGTCTTCCTACAGGGTTGCACTCTGCAAGTTTCTACCGCAGGTTTCAGCTGCTTTTCCCCTGAAGAAAATCCAGTTTCCGATGGTAGCTATTAATCCCCCCAATTTAACAATCACGGTGGTCTGGTGTGCCTTTATTACAGAGATTCCCTTCACTTTTCCAGTGGGCTTGTCTTCATCAGGGAGCCTGAGACAGGCACTCTCTCTGTTGTTCACTTCTGGAGCTCAGGACAACGGCTTTTGTCCACTTGCCTCTGCAGTGTGTAACCAAGTAGCTGCACAGCCAAAAGGCCAGCGGCTGGGGGTGGGGATGGGGGTGGGGGTGTGTTGTTGGAGGTGCCCCTGAGGCCAAGCCGTCAGCTGGTGGGCCTGCCCGGGGTGGGGTGGGGGGTGTCCTCCTCACCCTGTCCTGGTGGCTGTTGTAAAGCTGGTGGAGCAAGCTGGAGCAAGCAGGTCCCGGTCAGCCTGCAACCGCTCAGCCCCGCTTGGCGCTGCTGGCTCTGTTCACCCCAGCCGTCAGCTGGTGGGCCTGCCTCGGGGTAGGGGCGGGGGTGCGGGGGGTGCGGGGGTGGTCCCCCGCACTCTGCCCTGGTGGCTGGTGGAAAGCGTGGTAATCACATTTCACTGCGTCTGTTTCCTCTTATATAAGCATTGGAAAAATAACTGGATCTAGCTTATGGGGATATTTGAGATAAACTTTTAGAAATGTAAATTTAAGAGATGGTCTTCATATTTCCCACATACATATCTACAATGTGATTAAGAATCCTTTTCCATCAAAAGGGGCAATCTAATTTTTCTTGCCTTGGATTTTGCTTTACAGTTGATTATAATGAGGCAAAAGTGGTATATGATTTCAAGAATAATTTGGAAAAGACTATTTAGTGTCTACCTGATCTGAACATCTTGAAACACTTCCTCTGGAAGGATCCCGCCAACCTTCAGGAGAGACTATCTGGAGACAGTCCTGCGGCTGAGGCTGTAACTAGACGTACAGCACCAACAGACAGCTCCAACGTAGCTCACTGCCCATAGCATGAATGGAAAGCCAGCCATGTAAATGAGCCAGTTTGGCTTTGCTGCACAATTGACGGTTCCTTCTCACATCTACAACTACAGGCCACATTTTAGTGCATGCATATTAGAGAATCCATGTGACAGCCACTCAGCTAAGCCTTATTCAAATTCCTGATTTACGATTGAATGACCTACAGCAAATGGCTGTTTTATGCCACTGTGTTTGGGAGTCATTTATTATACAACAAAAATACTTCAAAATAAATTCAGCTAACGTGTTGGATGGGTGTGAAACTGCAATCAGCATGATGTTTGTTGGTCAATTACCACTTCTCATGAGCTTTTAATATTTATTCTTTAGGAAGTAAACTCTTTTACCATACAACTCTTGGACTTTTCAACTCCCTTACTTACTCTGTCCTGTAAGAATTAAAGAGTTATCTAATTGGTTCTGTGGAGATGCAAACTGGATAGTTTTCCCTTATCACTTCTTTATTTCTTTTCATAAATTACCTTCTCACCGAGGCCACTAGTTCTCTCTTAGTATCCCAAGTGATATCTTTCGAATCTCTGTATCCACAAGGGAGGGTCAAGCTGAAAGGTCTATGGCTAATAGGAACTATGTTGGGTATATTTATTTGATTCTTCAGTTCAGTATAAAAGCATTCATCTATTATTTATGAATTTGCTCAAACTAAGAATAGTTTTAAGTCATTTGATACTAATTTCCACTTACTTATTTAATCTTTTGTGAAAACTGATTGTGAAATTACTTAAGAAAAATGAAATTTTTGAGAGTCCCCTTTAAAAAATCTACAAAGATAATTATATTCACTAAGTATATCGACATGTTATTGGATGACTTTATTACACTGAAGCCCATGACACTGAAGATATTTCTTTGTTTATTAATCTACACATTTGCAATTTCATCAGAGTTAGTATATTCATAATGGTAACATTTGTTAGTGTTGCATTTCCCAAACTACTATCAGGAGTTCAACTAATTGATAAGACTATTTTCCTGTTAAAAGAATTAGCTGTGGAATTTCATCTTAGCTAAATGCTAAGAACTGTTTTCTACAGTATGGGTTGGAATCTGTATAACAACAGGCAATGAGGGTATTAAAAATGCTGTCTAAATTCTTGAGCTAAGTTGGAGGTTAGGAATATAGAATCTGAAAACCATAAGGATCTCCTAGCAATTCTTATAGAAAATATAATTTAATGCCTCATGACCAGTCTGACAGGATCACAGTATAATCTGCAATAGATAGTATTCAATTAGATTTTAGGTATCAGACTTTAGGGAGTCTATGAGCAACCAGAATTTAATCAGAATAAGAACAAAATAAACTGTGCTTCAGAAACTGTGTAACATGATGATGAAAAACATGTATTCAATACTTATGTGAGACATGCTGACATACGTTTTATATAGTATTCTTCATGTTCCTTAGAAAAATATAAAAAATAAGAATTATTGTCAGCATTTTAAAAGTGAAGAAGCTCATATTAAATAATTCAATAATTTTATTGATACTGAACTATCATAAATGGCAAAGCTGAAATTCAAAACTACATTTGTCTTCCTTCACAATTTAGTTCAACAATTCATTTTTCTGATTTTTGTAGTTGAAAAAGGTAGAAATATTAGGAGAAAAAAAAGACTTATTGGTATCCTGAAAGTAAGGGAGGAATCTTAAAATATTTTTGGAGAATTGCCATAACAGAAAAAACTAGCCATAATTTCTTTAGCCATTGGTGGAAATTTGAAGAAAAAGCATATTTGGATTTTTGTAATTGCTTTTTGAAAAATAATCCAAGATGAAAAATTTAAATATGTATTATTAGATATAATCCTTAGCAAACAATCTAGAGGATTGATTACATAGGTGGAAGAAATTTCTGCCTCTAGCTTGGTGTGGCCTAAGACATAGCTACTGGAATAAAATATCATAGCTTCATACTCACTTGCTAACATTTCATTGATAAAATAACTGAGTATAATATAGATCTTTTTCTCAGAATATAAATAAAAGAATATCAATTAAATGCAGCATAAAAGCCAACTTACAACTTTTGAAATTTTTTAGTAGACAGGAAAATACTTGAAAAATACAATAATAGGAATATAAAGGTAAAAATAATATGGGCTAAGAGCATGAAAATAATTGTTCTTAAGTGGCCTAATCCACAGAAATGTGTTCACATGAAATATGGAAACAGTCCTCCAAATTTTTAGACGTGTAATTTTGTTTTGACTTTGTGAAAATTTACATCTTTTCAGATTTGACAATTGTGCCAAGCCAGTACTTACAATTTTTGGTTTAGAAAATATTAAAGCAAACTCTATAATAATTACTTCAGTGGCCAGAAGACTATCGTTGTCATTCACATTCCACAAATTTGAAGTTCAAATTGAAAATATAAAAGAAATATATTGAAACATTGCAACTATTACCCAAAGAAGAGGCACGAGGACAGTAAAAGAGAAAATATTATGTAGACAAGAAAGTGATTCTTTTCTGCCAGTTTATAAGATTAGCATATTTTAAATACATTATGATAAATTGAAGGAATAGAAAATATAAGAAGGGAATGGAATTAATATGAGAAAATGAAAAAATGGAAACAAAGTCTTTGTAAATAGAGAGGGGTGGAGAGGTTGAAGGGAGGGCAGGGCAATGGGGAAAAAATAAGAACCCAGAGAGATTATGTAAAAGTACAGATTTCCAGTGATGAACGTCATTATATTGTGTACCTAAAATGTACCAATAAAATTAATTTAAAAAGATAAATTTCAAAAGAGACACCAGTGCTATGTACTTTAATCTGTTTTAAAATGATAGCAGAAAGTTCTCCTGTGATAATGAAGAAGGTTGAATTCTATGTTCTATTGTGTTCAGTAGCATTACATGTTCTTCCTTTATTAAAGAACTTATACTATTTCATAAAAAAATGTAGTATAGAGAAAATGATTTCAAGTCTTCCTACTAAAACGTTAATAAGTCTACTTTTGAGATATGCATATATTTTAAAATCAAACATTTTGTGGAAATTAATTAAATTTAAATGAAAAACTTCAATATTGAGGCTGGGGATTTAGCTCAGTTGCACTGTGCCTGCTTTGCAAGTGCAAGGTCCAGAGTTAGATTTCGGTGAGGAAACAAACAAAAAACAAACAAACAAACAACTACTTTAATATTGAATACTCACCTAAAAGACTAATTTTCTAATATTTACTAATATGAAATGTAAATCCCACTATGTCATTACATCATTACCTCTTTTTCTCTGTCATTTTTGTGTATATTTGCAGTTGAAAAGAAATAAAAATCCATATAGTGTAATAAACACATGGTCATGGTTAATTGATTTCTAAATAACTTGGATGCATTCTGGTGAAAGTTATCAAAATGCCATACTTACTTGTGCTTATTTTTCTTTTTTGATTCTAAATTATCTGAAAGCACAAACCTACTTTTCAATTGCATGAAAATAATTAAACATTTGAATGATAGCCAGAATTTTTAAATTATTTTTATGTACTTATCAAAGGTGCAATTTTGAAATTATAATAGCATGTATTAAAGATTCAATGTACACTAAAAGTCTATGAAACAACCTAAAGAGCAACACAATTAACCTAAGAATTCTAATTTAATTTTCAAAATTATATACATTGACATTTTCCCATCTAAAGTTCTTTTAGGCTAACTCTATGGTAGAGTAACCTTTTGAAAAATTAAAACTGATCTGAGCAAGTTACTTGTAAAACTGTAATGTAAGATTTACCAGTGTTGAAAATTCTGGAAATCACAGTGGAACTGGAATCTATTATACTGGAGTTGCGGTTACCTTATCACCTTCAGAAAATGTGATGCCATCCACAGCTCTTTTCCAAGAGATTTCTGGAATAGGTTCTCCTTCTGCCTCACAGATGAGTGTGACATGACCATTCTCATATGTAGTCTCATTTTTAAGCTGTATTATGTGAGGCTGTACTGTAAAAAATGTATACATTACTCAATTGGCATTGGAGTAAAAGTATCATTATTCAGACTGAAAATCCATGGTAGGCACTTAAATCCCCATTAATATAGAATATGACAACTCTGTTACACCAGCATGTTTTGCTTTATGAGAGATGCAAAAGAGCTGCAAAGAATGGGACAAAAATAGCTTTAGAAATTAATACCCATTTATTACCATTTTTAAAATAATTTGAGCCAGGTATGGTGGCCAACACCTATAATCCCAGTTCTTGGGAGGCTGACACATGAAAATCACTGTGAGTTTGAGACCAGCTGGGGCTATATAGTGAGTTCAAGGACAGCCTGAACTACATAGTGTGACCTTGTCGAAAGAAAGAAAGAAAGAAAGAAAGAAAGAAAGAAAGAAAGAAAGAAAGAAAGAGAAAGAAAGACCAAAAATAATTTGAAATAGTTCAAAAACCTAAATAAAAATTATACTGCATTTGAAAATTTTCCAATTTAAATTACCCTATTTTGTTCTCTGTTAAAGCCACCAAGTTAAAATTTCCATTTATACCCACATATGCATGTATATACCTAAACACACACATATGTATTATACACATACATATTGTACAACTATATGGCAGCTACTTAATGACTGTCTCTTAATTTCAATAAGAGTTTCACCAGATGAAACATGATTAATGTATCTTGAATATATGTTATTGAAATTAATTATGGTTAAATATATATATACTACCTATTATTATACCTATTTTTTCTGATCAATTTGTCCCTTAATTTACCTTGGCAATGTATTAAACTATGTATTTATTATAACTTCTATGAAAATAACATTATGTACACTAATTAAAAGTGCCTTAATGGTAAAAAATGTCCTTCCATATGTTTATATACACAGAGGTTTATTTTTCAACATTGTCTCATCTGTGTTTCTTAGCTGTTTAGTTAAAACATAAAATGAATAAAAGTCTAAAAGCTAGCACATGTGATTTCAGTACAAGTAAAATTTTTTAATATTTTGATACAAATAACCAAGAATATAAATAGTTATTAATCTCAGAAAATAATATTCATAATATCAGAAATGTGCCTTATAGAGTTTTCAACAATTTCCTTTTAGATGCATATGTGTGCATATGTGACTTTGTGAAAAAATAAACAAAAATTTGTTCCATTGCATTAAAAAATCACTACATTTACTAAAGGCAATATTTTATGGTCTTTTTTATTTGAAAGGATGAAGGTATCACAATGTCTTCCATTTATATCTTTTTCTCATTTAGTGGTAGCCTAATAAAAATAGAAGTAACTATATAGTATTTCATACAGGCTCATGGAAATAGACTGAGAACAATATACTTTGTAATTAAGTCATAAACTACCATTTCTTATTAGTTTTTTATGATGAGTAGAATTTAATCTATTAAATATTTTCAAGTGGGAAATACTATTAGAACAAATTGAGGACTTTCTATAATTTCTGAGTGTCAAGATTATTGATCATTTCTTCTTTGTGAATTTAAACTCAAGGCTCTTAGCCTTCTCTATTTCTTTTCACTAAAGACTTTTATATAAACATAACAGTCAACCTTATCCTTCTCAGTAACACTCCAGAACAATAATTCTATTTATAGTTTTGCCTAATTTACCCAATTTCATATTCTTTTAAAAAAATAAAATATTAATAGATTCTGGTATAGTGCTTTGTTCACTGCACTAGAATATAAACATAAAATTTCTCTGGTTCAAGAAAAATGTTTCTATTACCTCAACCACAGAACATACCAGCAAAGAGTGGGTCCACCATGTAATGCCATTCATCTTGTGGGCAATGTTTAGGAGTACCCCTACACTAACCATTACAAGCACTAGCATTCTTAGTTCCATCAATTTCACCCTCCTCCTTTTCCTTCTCTTTTCTCTGAAATCATTTTGATAAGATCTTTAGATCTAACCACCCCCCACCAAGGTCTTGCATTCAGATAAGTCTTTTGGAAGGGATTGGATCGTGGGGGGTGTGCTACTCATCAGTAGATTGATGAGTACATTGATGAGTTCAGAGCTGACTTTGCTATTCAGGGAAGGGCAGAGTTGGAGGAGGTGGATAAAAGTATTACCTGAAAGGGTGTATTCTTGTCCCTGGCATCTCCACTATCTCTGCTTCCTCCCTTCTATGATATGAGCAGTTTTCTCCCACTGGGCCCTCCCACCATTCTGGTTCTGCTTGGTAATGAACTGAACCAGAAAATACCTTTCCTTCTTTAAGTTGGTACTTTGACCCAGAAATGGGAAAGTAATAGAGAAAATTGGTGTCAGGAGTGGGTCACTGTAGTGACTGTAGGAGAAGATGTGCCTGAGAAAATTTTGGAACTGGTTTGTGCTAGGAGTTTGGAGAGCTTTGGTGATATGGATTAGAGAAGCCTTAGAATGAAATAAACAGAGCTTGGTACATGATTCTGTTTGGAGCTCAGGAAACCAAAATTCTGATAGGAATGCAAACAGTAAAGGCCAGATTCAAGAGGTTTCAGGTGAAATCAAATACTCCACTGACAACAGGACTAAGGCTCTGTGTATTATACTCTGGCTGAAAATTTGTCTACATTTTGCCCATTCTCTGAAACTTTGCAGGAGAATGAGATTAAGAATAGTGGACTAATCAACCTGGTTGAGGAAATTTCAAAGCAGCCTAAAGTTCTGGCTGCATATGGATACTTCTGGTTGCTTTTAGCCAGATTTATAGTGACATTCAGTAGTAAAAAAAAAGCTGACAGATGTGCAAAGTTTGCAGTTTTGTCAGACAGGAATCACTTGGAAATTGGGCCATAGGAGTGCATGGTTATTGAAAAGATTAGCACTGAGAAGCAGTCAGTTACTTTGCATGAAAACAAAAGGAAAAATTGACTGAAAGCATCATAGAACCAGGTCAGACACAATTCTCTGGAGGCTCAAAGAATTTAAGAGCATAAACTCTTTTAATAGACTTAGCTTTGAACGTTCAGGGCCACAGAGAAAAGTGCTTCCTATAGTTCAGCCATCTAGAGTTCAACCACTCAGGCACTCAGAGGCACCCATGCTCCAGGCATAATCCCAGGGTGTCAGGCTACTGCTTCAACAGTAGAACATTATGTCATCCATGTCCTTCTGGTTTTGAAGTAATGTAGGATGCAAATGGTTTAGGGATATAAATGCTTCCACCTACATTTCAGAAAAGGCCAGAATGTCCAGGCAAAAATGTGTAACATGGTCACAGTACCTTCCAGGTGTTTCTGAGATGGTGATGTACAAAAAAATAAGCTGAAGGTACAATGGGCACCCCAGGAAGCTGAACATGCCAGGAAGATGGAATATCTTCTAAGGACAGCTGTGGGCAGTAATTAGAGTCCACCCAAGAGAGAGGATGTGTGGGATGCAATAGGGGATTCTGTAGAGAAGTGAGGCCACTCAAGCCATTTAGAGCTAACATCTTACCACAACTTGTCCCAGGCGTTGGACAGGAAATGATAGGATTTAATGTTTACCCTGTTGGATTTTGGTCTTGCTTTGGTCCAATATCTATGTCCCCCTCTCTCCTGTTTGGTACAGAAATGGTTACCCTGTATCATTTTATGTTGAAAGTACTTGTATTTCTTTATGTTTATACCGGTTCTCAGTTAAGAGTTTGCTGTGAGTCTCAGAGAACATGTTGGACATGGACTTTTTCTCCAATGCTGTAACTGTTAAGACTGAAAACTCTAAGAAATGCATTAAACGCATTTTATTTAATGAAATGAACATGAGCCTTTGGGGGACCAGGAGTTGAATGTTAAGGTTTAGATCTAAAAAGTCCCCCAAATGTCATAGATTCAGAACTAAAGGCTTTGGATGGTTACTGGGTCATGGGAGTACTACACTCAGAAATTGATCAGTCCATTGATAAGTTTGTAACTCACTGTGCTGTTCTGAAGTGTGACCTGGTCAGAAAAGTTGGAACACTAGGAAGATGACCTGGAAAGGTATATTTTAATTCCTAGCCCCTCTCTCCTCTCCCTCTGCTTCTGTCTTCCATGATGTGAGCAATTTTCCTCCACTAGGACCTTCTACCATGTTTTTTCTCTCTTAGAGCCTCTTGACTATGGACTCTACCCACTGAAAAAAAGCCAAAATTCACTTCTCCTTTTAGATGTGATTGTCAGGAATTTTGTCCAAGCAGCAGTAAAGTGACTAATACAATGACATATTTTTAAAGAAGGAAATATGAGCAGTGTATATAATTGTTTTACACTTTTTAAAGAGAAAAATAATATTAGTACCAATCAGCAAATTCTTATTGCAAGCATAATGGAAGATATGTCACTGGTTTTCTTTAAAAATTACAAATTCTCTATGCTCTATAAGTTTGCCCAAAGTATATAATATATCTTTTGTGAAATACATAATTCTATTTTATTTTAAGAAAATAATTATATTTAAGATCTGTTTCTAAATTATAGCATTACAGACATATAGATGAATATAAAACTGAATCTAATCTGTGTCATTTAAAAAGTTATGAGAGGGCCGAGGATTTAGCTCAGTGGTTTCGCTGCCTGCTGCGCAAGCGCAAGTACCCGAGTTCAATCCCCAGTACCAAAAAAAAAAAAAAAAAAAGGTAATAAGGATCAAACTTTAGGTAGATATAAAATATTACAGATACTACTATCTGTATTCTACAAATTTAACTTCAGTTATGTAATAGGTAAAATCACAGAAATTTACGTGTATGTTTTCATGTAATTCTTATGATAATTTTTATTTGGTAGCTGAGAAAATGTATTTCAAAAATGAGGAAGCTAAGGTTTAATTATGGAAATTTAAAATATTAAAAATGGCAGAATATAAGTGGACTCAAATATTTCTCTAAACTAGGAAATTTTAACCACTGTGCTATAACACTTACCAAAGACTTGGAGGAAGGCCTGCTTTTCATCTTCTCCTGCCTTATTTGTTGCCCTACAGACATATGGTCCACCATCGCTATTGATTATGTTCCTGACAATGAGTTCTGTATTGCTTCCTTTCAATATGTACTTTTCATTTTCTTCAATGATCTTGCCGTTTCTAAAAGAAAAAAAAAAGATTTTCATGATCTGACTTGGTAGCTCTGGCTATCATATTAAACTTTTTTATCTATACATTTTAATGGATAGAAATATTTGATGGATATATTTCATGGATAGAAATTTTTGTATATTTTCAGTAGCTCTGGAACTGAATTTGTAAATGTCAAGATTATGTTCAAAAAATTGTTTTGACTTTAGAGACAAGAATATCATTTGGTAGCTGTTAAAATTTTGATACTAGTCAGGTAAATACAAAACACATTGTTTTAATTTGTACTTCCATTATTTGTTTTATTTGTTCATTCTTTTCCACTTGCACTTTAACCCAACATATTTAATGAAATATACTTATATTTTATTTCGGGGCATATTTGAAATAATAGCTACGGAAATATCCTTTAAAATGTTCAAACTGAATACAATATAAATACCTCATAGATATATATTGTATATACAGACTGACAGTAAAAGTGTAAGATGGTAGAATTATGTGAGAACATAACTAATTAAAGAAATTAAGATGAAAATGATATAATATAAATGAATAGAAAAATTTGTTTCCTGTTACACATAAATAATTAGCAATATTTTCCAAGTATACTGAAGTAGAACTCATTCTGTTCCAATTACAGTATCTGTCACCTTAAAATATTATATATCACCTTAAATTATGGTTTTCAGCATTTCCTACTCTACATCATTAAAAATATTTTTATTTTAAATGTAGTAAAAATCGAAATATTTCTAAAGCTCCCCTTATTAATTATGAAATCTTCTTATGCATTTGCTTCACTTCTGTTCACTAATCCCATTCTCTTTTTCCTTGTACTCTTCTTTTACTTCCTTCTTATCTTTCCTCCTATATTTTTCTCCTAAAAATAGTTTGTATGACTGAGTTGGTCTTGAGATTTACTAACAAAATATCTCTGATTTGTCCTTCTTGGGATGGAAAGTTGCTTTTACATACACTTACATTTAAAGAGAAATCTCTAAAAATTGTATTACAAACATCTTTCTTAGAATTAAATAGAGCACTTTCATGATACATCATAAAATTCTCCTGGTGAATTTTGGTTCTATTTCCAAGAAGACACTGACTCACATTCTCATAACACAATAATTCTTATTTTCCTATGCCTCAACATCTGTTTTCTCAGTTTGTCATCACATCTCTCAATATATCATAAGTCATGAAGCGATTCATATGAGAACTAAAGAACTGGAAAGTTAGGGCTTATGAAATAATAACAATATGTATGTATTACCCTTTATTTACATATTTTTTCTAATTTTTACTAATCTAAAATTTGCAACAAATATAAAAATAAGAGTATTTCAGGATATTTGTTTAGAACTTAATGTATAGAGATAACCTGCATTACAAATAGTGATATATTTTTTCAGTATTTTCAATGGAATTATTCATTTGTTCCCTAACAATATGATACTAACAATGCATTAGAGGTTTCAGTGATTTACATATTGAAAATCTACGAAATTCACCAAATTAGTGGACTAACATTACAGATTTCAAAGATAATTTCACTAGATAAATTAAAAAAATTGAATGGAAAGGAATAGAGAGAGTAACTGCTTTTATTTCCACATTGATTTACATGTCACTGGGTTTCACCGATTCTCTATGTGAAAAATTTGTATCACTCATCATTTTTTTTTTCTTGTCCCTTAACTATCTTCTTTACTGCAGTTGTGTCCTAAATTGGTGGAATTCCAACTTTGAATCTCTTAACGATCAAGCAGACTACATCTGAAGAGAGGACCTTTAAGGAGGCAGTTAAGGTTTACTGAAGCCATATGGGTGAGGCCTTCCTCTGATGGGTCTGGTGTTCCTAAACGAACAGGAAGAGACACAGGAGGTTTCTTTCTCAGTGTTGGCATAGAGAGGAAAGGCCAGGTGAAGATAAAGTGAGAAGATAGGCATCTGCAAGCCTAGCAGAGGGACCTGTTAGCCCCTTGATGTAGGATGACCAACCTCCAGAATTGTGGGAAAATATATTTCTGTTGTTCAAACTACCCAGTCTGTCATATTTTGTTATGGCTACCTAAGGTTAAGCAAGTCAAAGGACTTCATTCACATCATTTGGAGATAACTCTGTGCAATAGGTACTCTGGATCTTTCTCTTAGGGTCACTGCCCTACATTCTCGAATGCTTCTAGGGACTTTGTCTTCTCCCAGGAAAAAGGAATGTCTATACATACAGTTAAAGAGGACAAAATAAAATTTCCTTTTAAAGCTAACTTTATCGAAAGATCTATCTCCGTACTTCCCACTTTTTTGCAAATGGGAAGGGAGCCAAAAGATGAAGGAAGTGGGGGATGAAAACAGAACTAAAAAAGTAATTATACAAGAGCATTTCTGTGATGTGATTAGATCCGATACTGACTGTTAAGGATTTACCCTACTAAACCAGGGGTCTTTAGGATATATGATGATTGATCTCATATTAATATTAATCATATTAATACATATTAATAATGTTAATATGTAATCTCATTAAATATAAAAACAACAAATTAATGTCTGGAAGGAACAACTGCAAGAATTACTTGTAGATATATCTTGTTTATTGCTACTTGATATATTAAATGGATAACAAACATAAAGATTTGAAAATTGAAGATATCATTAAAACTCAGAAATTAATAAAAACTAAGATTTAGATTTGATGGTCCTTAAAATATTTTTAAAAGCCTAATACTTATTACAGGCACCTTTGTGGATCTGAATATGTATTTTACTAAAAATTTTGTTGTGATTTTTTCTTGTACTTTACGATTTTTGAAGTATAGCTATTCCACATTTAATGACTTATCTGTTTAATGATTGTTCAGAGTTACGATGGAGGCATGTTGTTCAGACTTACAAACTGCTGCTCAGACTTATGACCCATCTTTTCTTTTTGTACAGTTCTGTACACCTTGACTATAGAGCCTCAATGTCATTTTTGTACAGTGCACCTTATTTATACACTATGGTACTTTTTGCCGACAATACTGTACAGTACAGTACTGTACTTTTATGTTCTGTTATACATTACAATACTGCTGGGAAAACTCATAGAAATAAAAGCAAAATCATCAAGCTGGAGTTTCTTTTGATCATTTTCTTTGTTCTAAATAATGTAATGTACATACTATATACAATCCTCATTTAGGCACCAGTTCATCTAAGGACCTAGTTGCACGAATGGATCTTGGTAGTAAAATGAGGAATATCTGTATATAATTGATTATATAAATATTTGCATCCCATATACTAAATTGCATTACTAAAGCATATGTACAAGATTGTCCAGTTTTAAACTTTATTATCTTCAACTTAGGTGTTCGAGCTAGAATGTAAAAGATTTGAACATTTTAATAATGCATGCTTGATGTTAATGGAAAGTGAAGAGCATTTTAAAATTCTGAAAGAAAAATAAATATAAGTGAACTCTCAAAAAACAGATGCAGAACAAAGTTTATGCATGTGATAAGTTGAACTTTTGTAAAGTGACAAATTAAATTCATGACATTTTAAGTCTACATAATTAATTTTTTCTGAAATATAGTACGTGAATAGAATATGCAGTTAATTGTATTCTGATAAAATGAGTTCCTACACATACAACAATATTCATGGCAACACTAGTATTTCATTTGGAAGACACACTGCAGCAGTAGCAATAAAATGTTTGAAACACACAAGGATCCTGGGCCCATTTTGGCCAGAGACATGTGTTTAAAAATAGATTGGGGGGCCGGGGATTTAGCTCAGTGGTTTCACCACCTGCTGCGCAAGAGCATGGACCCGAGTTCGATTTCCAGTACCAAAAAAAAAAAAAAAACAGATTAGGGACTACTCATCTACCTTTCCGCTAAGAAAATTAGAATAAGATCACACTGTGGATCTCTTTAGCTATTTAACGTAACCAACTTGACTAAAAACAAGAGCACCATGTTTTTCCATGAAACTCAAAGCAATGGTTTGCTTCTTGATGAAATGATTAAGATGCCACATTACTCCTGATTACAGGCAGGCTGCTTCGCTTACCTGGACCAGGAGATGGTGGGCTCAGGAGACCCAGAGGCCCTGCAGGACAGAGTCATTTCTTCTCCCCTCTCAGCTGTGGCATTGAAGGACTTCTGAGGCATTGTGATTGCTGGCGGTACTGAAAGAAAATAAATAGAGAGGAAAATGCTCTCAGCAACACCATTTTGAGACCTTCTTTTAACCACTTTTATTGCGCCAAGCTTCATAACTTGACAGTCATTTCCAGTTTCATAGTAAAGTAATTTTAGTGTCACTGATATGGCCTCTTACGTATGGTAGTTAGAAGAATCCATTGTGATGTTATTGTACTGTCAATGTATTCAACTGAACAGTGAACTATACATTTTTGCAAACATATATACTTTTATGAAATATGTATTACATAAAAATAATACCACCCTGGCTTAATCAATGCTGAGATCTACTTTGAGCATCAATGGATTTCCTATTTGTGTTCTTATTGGTATATATGATGCCATAAGCAATCACTCACTGGTTCAAGACAGGGCTTTCAAATTAGGTGTCAAACTCTGATGTTCTTTCTGATTAACTACACTTAATTTCTTCAAACAACTGTAAAACATTTTATGAAGAGGAACTGCTTCAGCCATAGAGAGTCTGAAAATAGATTTTCACAAACAATTCAATTTCAAAATTAAGCTTCCCCAATTTCTAACTAATTACATTGCAGAAAGTGTATATGCTGCACATTTTCAACATGTTGGAACTGTTATGAAATGCAGTGTTTGCAATAAACAAGTCACTAACATCCATAAAGAAAACAAAATTTCAATGTAAAGCATAAATTACCCTCAAAACACACTTTCATGATATTAAATTGAGTATGACAAAATTATATTCCTACAATTAAGATTCTTAATAGATTTATTTTTTACATATCCTAAAAAACATGATCAGGCAGGCATTTATGAGCATGATTACAATTAAATGTCTTTACAATAGCATTCAGGTCAGCATTGGTGTTGCATTAGTCCCATTGATGGTAGGAATAAGACCTGATATATATGTTAGTAATTAATCATAACAAGTTTAGCTCTGCCTTTACAAATTCAGATATAAAGAGCATGATCTAACATGCTGCCTCTAAAATAACATAATAATTATGACTATTACAAAAGATAGACTTCTTTAGATACTAACTCTTAATTTTAAGTGCACTGTCATTTGACCTTCTGTATCTAGTTTTCCTTTCCATTATAGAATTATAATAAAAATGAACTCTTTAACCTAAATTCTTTCTACATTTAAGTATTTGTAAATAGGAACACTTCCAAATTGAGAACAAAGGGCTTTAGTCCTTACTCTAGAAATACTCCTAACAAAAGTTCATATAGTGTTTATTACAGTCTTCTTGGATAGAAAGTAACGGTCAAGACAGTAAAAAAATTAAAATTCTTGGGCCGGGGATTTAGCTCAGTGGTTCTGCCAACTGCCTTGCAAGCACAAGGTTTCCAGTTTGATCCCCAGTACCAAAAACAAAACAAAACAAAACAAAAAAATTAAAAATCTTTCTGGAGTGAGATGGAATCAACATTGTTTTAACTTCCATCTGTTAAATGTGATGTTGAATACTTTTTCATGTATTTATTTGCTGTTTCTACTTCATCTGAGAAGTGACAGATGCCAATTTTTGAACAGGGTCTTTAAATTTGGGGTATCTGCTTTTTTAAGTTCTTTATATATTCTAAATATTAGTCCTTTGTCTAAGAAACAGATAGCAAAAAAGTTTCCCACACTGTGGGTTGTCTTTTCACTCTGTCGATGGTTTCTCTTTGTGTGCAAAAGCTTTTTAATAAGATGAGATCCCAGTTATTGATTCTTTGTGATAGTTCCTGTGCAACTGAGATTTTGTTCATAAAGTCTCTACCTACACCAATGTCTTCCAGAATTCTACCTATTCTATCTTCCAGCAGATTAAGCATTTGTTTTAACATTTAGATCTTTGATCCATTTCGATTTTAGTTTAGTGCATGGTGAAAGATATGGGTCTAGGTTTAATCTTTGGCAAGTGGAAAGACAGTTTTAAGCACCATTTATCACAGAGGCTTTCTTCCAATGAGGGTGTTTAGCTCCTTTGTCAAAGATGAGGTGGCCGAGTGTGTCTGGAGTTCTTTTTGCATCTTCCAATCTGTTCCACTGATCCTCAGGTCTGTGTTTTTGCCAGTAACAAGCTGTTGTTTTGGGGGTTTTTTCTGTCACAGTAGCTTTGTAGTATAATTTTCAGTCATGAATTGTGATGCCCTTGCCTTGCCTTTGTTGCCAAGAATTGTCTTTGCTTTTATAGGTCTCTTCTGGCTCCAAATAAATTTTAGAATTGGTTTTCTAATTCTGTGAGATACGTGCTATTGGAATTTTGACTGCGATAGCATTAAATCAGTACACTAATTTTGGAAGTATTCCAGTTTTCACTATATTAGTTCTTCCTACCCAAGAAGGATATCTTTCCATTCCTGATATCCTCTTTGATCTCCTGAATGATCCTTGCATCGCTGGGATGAATCCTACTTGGTCACAGTGTATAATGCTCTTGATCATTTGCTGCATTCTGTTTGCCAATATGTTATTGAGGATTTTTGCATCTATGTTCGTCAGGAAGATTTGCCTGTAATTCTCCTTTTTGGTTAGATCCTTCTCTGGCTTTGGTGTCAGAGTATAGAAATAGTCAATACAAACTAGCATTTATAACAAATACTTCTTTGGAACTCAGAGGCAAATAGAACAACACATACAAAGTATAAAATGATGACATAAAGAAAGCTAGTTAATTATTTAATTTCATTTTGAACAAAAGCCTAGCTCACTGGTTATAACAAATTAAGTATATATGATCAACTCTTTCTACATAAACAGTTGAGTTTTCTCCATTCTACAAAATGTAGCATGTCCATAAGGGATATAAAACCTGATCAATATTCACATTGAATCAATATCTGTACTTGATTAAAAACTGGAAGCAAGTACAGAACCATTTTCCCCATATTAATTACTAATTTTTGAAAACAGTAAAGTAGTGGCATATATGATTACATTGAGTATTGAGTTTTAAAATTAAACATATCAGAGGAAAATAGTAAATTTTGTTTGATACTATCAGATTAGAAGATAGTAAATGTCTTCCCAGTATGTTGGTTTAAAAAAGAAATTTAAGGAAAAGATTCAATTAGCATTATCTATCCTATTCTTATTTATTTATTTGTTTGTTTGTTTGTTTGTTTGTTTATACAGAGTCTCACTATATATTTCAGGCAGGCCTTGAACACATTATGTAGCCAGGCTGGTCTGGAACTCATGAAAATCCTTCTGCCTCAGCCTCCCAAATGCTGGTATTACAGGACATTCCGTTCTTTGTGAACCCTATCATAAAAGGAGTCAACAATGTAATCAAATTAGTCTTGCCTTCAGTTGACAATAAGTATAAAAACAAAGAGAAAAAGAAAATAGTAACTGATTTTTTTGTATTTTATAAATTTTCTTTCACTAAATAAATAAGATTGTTCTGTTCTTTTACAATACATCACACTCACAGCTTCAAAATAAAAGGAAAAAAGTTAGATACTGAAATTCTGATGGCACTCCTTTCATCTTTAGTTGTTTTTAGTAATTCCTTATATTTTTAAGCAAATATTAATCCACATTGTGATGAGTCTTTCTTCAACTTTTAAACAGTCTTTTTCTTTATCATTTTCCCAAACTAACAATATATGTATGACATATACTTATGAAAAAGTAGAGAATTTTCTCACTCTGGTTCAATCTGCACAGTATTGTTGACTTTGGATATACTATTAGGCATATTTTAAGTCTCCTAGCCAAACACAGCTGAATACATGTCAATTACAACATTAATTAATGATAATACCTTAATCAACTAAATACAACTGTATTTAATTACCAAGTGGTGAAGCATATAATTCAAAAAAGTAAATAAATATACCATACTGAATAAAAGAGACTAAATATCATTTCAAATTAACTTCAGTAGAAATATATTATGCTATTTATTTATTTATTTTTGGTGGTGGTGGAGATCAAAACTAGGCCCACAAATTGTGCCATTTTTTATAGTAACAGTGGATTATTTTTATGACCAAAAAATAAATACCCAAATAAAAACAGTAAAACTGAAATGAACAAATTTCATGAAATTAGTAAAGCTGATTCCACAGAGAATGTCTGGATGTTGTAATACAAAATAAAATATTTATGAAAGAAAAATCAAGTGAAAATTATAATAGTAATGATGCAAACTGCTACTTCAAATTTCCGTTAGTTTCCATGGTAAATAGTGATGAGAAGGCCAAACTTAATATGAAAGATACCGCATGTCAATAAGAAAGTATATAATAAAGAAAACACAAGCTTGAGAGTTTATTGATTTCTTCAAAGATATTTTCTCCAAAAGCATCTCTATTTTTATGCTTTTTTTAGAGTACACAATATGATTTATCATATTCTACAGCAGAAGACATCAAAGTATGTGTAAAGACACTATGAGGTTCCCAACACCATTGGGGACCCCGTTTCCCAATTATACATCTGTCTGTGCAAGGATTTTTGCCTGCAAATGCCAGTTATTGGATCATACTAATGGAATAAAAGTTCAATAATAACCTTATATGAAAAAGTGCTTTTCTTTCTTTCAAAAATATATTACAGGGCCGGGGACTATGCTCAGTGGCACCACACCTGACTCGTAAGTGCAAGGTCCTGAGTTTGACCCCGTTTAAAAAAAAAAAAGTATATATATATATAGATAGATACACATATATATGCATATATAGCAAAGGTTAAACATAGTGGCAAGTGTGAATATACTATCTTTTGTGAAGTTACTTACTAAATAAATTACCAAAAACATAAAAAGAGAATTTACTCTGGTATGGCTTATATCTAGATGTCCCCACACAGCCTCGTGTACTCATAGGTGAGGATCTGAGGAGAGTGGATCAAGTGTGTGTGATATCAAAGTGGCCCACTGATAGGCTTAGCATAGTTTTGGGTGTAAGTGAATGGACTCATTGAAGACAGAAGATCCACTTGGGTGTGAATGGCACCAATCAACTGGCTTGTAGCCTGGGTGGAAAAAAAAGGCATAAT